GGGAGGTGTTCGGTATTGAAAGGGCATTTTTCACTTGACTGATACAAACCCCCGCCCGCACCCCTTTACGCTCGCCACGCCACGCTCGCCACGCCCCCAGCCCGTGATTTACGCCCCTGTAGTGTTGGCGGAGGGGGGAGTGGAGAGATGCGGCCATGACTTTTCAGCAACATATTAATGTTTCGACAATTTATAACTGATGCATTGTGCCGCCATGCGCCGCGCCACGCCGCGCTGCCCGATTGGAGTAATTTATATTAATTTGTTGTGAGACGAGACGGCTGTCTGGACCGATTTATCACAGACCAATGTGCTGTGCACGGGGCCCACCCCGCCCTGTCTCCTGGCCTGGCCTCTGGGACGGGGTTCGGGACGTGCGATACGATGGGCCCGGGACGTGCGCTGGGAGCCGTAGAACGTTCGGGTGACGTGCAGTACTGCAATTGCGCAGGACGGGTCTGTACTTTCATACTACGGTCAAAATCTATTCGACTGGTATTTGAAGGTCAAAGACTTGGCCGTGCTTGACAGGATTTTCCTCCAGTGTAAGGCACAGTCCAGCCTACACAATGACACTGAAAAAAATACCAGACCATTCTGGTGTGATTTCCTGTTGTAACTTTTAAAACTGGAACGTGCGCCGGACCTTGAGGAGGACGAGACGTATTGGAAATTTCGTTCCCGACCTTTGTGAACTCCATCTCCAATGCAAAATTAATCTTGTAAATTTTTTGTGGTTTTGCGTTTTACTCCAAAATGCATCTTTTTTCCCTTGTTGAATGCCTAAGTTTGTCTTTTGTTTTGAAGAGGTTTTGCTGTGTGCACGATGGTGATGTTCGTTTGTCTTATAAACGTCGTGCATTTGAACTGTACGACGAGAGAGAGCGAGAGAGAGCGAGTTATGGGTGTGCATGGGCTGTGGTTGTGTGGAGCTGGCGAGTGTGACTCCCTGGGCTGTGATGCGCCAATACTAACGGCTGTTTCATAATTTCAGGTCGCAGCGAAAACAGCCAGCCCCTTCAAATCAGGGCTGATGCTGAAACCCCAGGTACGCTCTCGCTCACTCTATACGTGCCTCTTTTACGCCAGTTTCTTTCTTTCTTTCTTTCTTTCTTTCTTTCTTTCTTTCTTTCTTTCTTTCTTTCTTTCTTTCTTTCTTTCTTTCTTATCTTTGTACCCACTGCGATGCTATGATATATGCTTACAAACTCGATTCTTCCAACTACTACGCTGTAGTGCGTAGAACTTAACTTAGAGCTCTTTCTCTGTCTGCAATAATTATGCGCTAGCTTGCACTCTTTTTCCGCTAAATGAAAAATACGCCTTGTGTTTCAAAGAAATTTCTTTCTAAAATGACTTACTTCTTCGTCTTCGTATGACGGAGGATTGAAAATTAACTTCCCTTTGTCTTTCAAATCAGTTCACACCAGTTTTTCTTTAGCTTCAAAGAAACCGACAATTACAATGTTGCTACAAAGTAAATGGTATACATGATATGACAAAACTGTTCAGATATACGAGAACAAATTGTTGTGCTTGAGGATTAAAATATAACAATGGTTTTGAAGATCTTCTTAACGTTTTTTGTCATTTTAGTAAGATATTTAAGAGTGCTTTCTGTCATCTTCGCTCTTCCACTGTTAAAATTTATGCTGTTGGTTTACAACAGATTTGTCGTTTACTTTCATAGCAACGCGTATCGTTTTAAAACACCTCGTTTAAACAATTCAAGTTTGACGTTCGAAGTGGTCTGAAAAATTATTTTAGTGAGTAATTTGTTATCCATTTACTTTTCAGAAATTTAACGGGCAAACAAAATTGACTTGCTAGAGCATAAGTGCCAATAAGAGTATTGTAGTCGATAAAATATATGAGTCGTTTAAAAACAAATAAGCCAGTCATCTCGACGAATTTCATCAGGTGGCAACAATTTTTAACAGTGCTTCGTTGTAAATATTACCCCCCAATACGGGTGCTGGACCCGTCTTATGCACGCCACGCCATGAATGGCCCGGGCTGTTTGACCCATATGCCAGCCTCGCTCTGGATGCACTTTGGGCTGAGGAGGAAGAGGGAAAAGGGGCGGTGGTAGGGGGAGGGGG